ACAATCTCTAAGCCTTGACTAAGAGCCAGGCCTGTGTCAGGATGAGGGGGTCAAACAGGAGCCAAGTACCTCCTCTACCCTCAAAAGGATGTGTGAGAGTGTGGAACCAAAAACCTAATCCATAGGGAGGAGCATCTTGCTAGAGGAAGACTCATCTGCACGCTTCAATACTGCCCAGGTGAGCTGGCGGGACCTGGACTCCTATTGGCTGTCTTCTCACTTCCCTTGCTAACAGCATTCAGATCTGAGTGACTTCATCAGAAGACAGCTGTCTAGGATGACCTGAACTCAAAACTGCAAAAGAAGCCTGTACTCTGAGGCAAAGAGGGTTACGAAACGTACCGTCACCGCAGTGTAAGTACCATAACCCATCCCCTAAACGCACTGCTCCTGAGGGTCTCGGAGATGGAGCAGCTCGTCCAATGCTTAGCCCACTGTACCACCAGGGGTCACTAAGTGGCCATTTGTTGTTGTTAAATGCTGCATTTACTATTTCTTTTTCTCAAGGGATTTCAAAAGCAAATTGCATTTCAAATGTTCTTGAAAATTGTTGTTGTTAACTGTGACGTCAGTTCTAACTCATAGTGACCCTGCAAAAGGTTTCCAAGGAGTGGCTGGTGGGTTTGAACTGCTGTCCTTGCAGTTAGAATCCAATGCTTATCCTACAGTGCCACAACAGGGTTCCTTGAATATTTGCTATTATTGTTCTTAAGAGCTGTAGAGTTGGTTCTGACTCATAGGGACCCTATATAGGGTTTCCAAGGAGTGGCTGGTGAGTTTGAGCTGCCAACCTCATGGTTCAAACTGAATTTGCAGTCCAGTGCTCAATTTTCCCTGGCAAGCACTGTAGAAGTGGCAGGTCACAAAAGACCATGCACATGTGCATGCAGGGAGGAGCCTTGGGTCTCACATTGCCCTAGAGGGCCCATCATCCCCATTTCTCAGATGAGGAAGACTAAGGAGTCACTTGTCCAAAGGCACACAAAAAGCTAGAGATCTGACTCCCCTTCTGCTCGTCACCTATGAAAAAGACAAGCTCCAGACAATGAGCAGGCACCAAGTCACCAGTGTCATGTGTATCAAAGGAGACCATTCAACGCTGGGCTCTGAATGAAGGCAGGCAAATGTGGTGAGCACGACCCTGAGCAGGGCTCTGCCTGGACACACTGCTCCCCACCTGGACAGAGCACAAGCTGAGAGAATGAGCAGGACTCTCCACTGGGGTTACAGTAAGCAGCAGCCACCCTCAATTAGATAACTAAATCCAGTACTTCTCAGTCCACTCCTGGACTGAAAGTTCACACACTGGAAGGGTGACTCAGAACCGGGCCCAGCGACCATGGAAGCAGATCCTCTTTTTGGGAGACCTCTCCCACTTCTCCCTCCCCAAACCAAGGGCTCTCTCCCTCATTCAGTTAGCCTAAGGCTAGAGGACCAGGCCCACTTGTGTTTAAATCTTGCATCTGCCATTTACAATTGAGATTCAGGTTCACCATATATGAAAAGGGGAACACACCTATTTTTCCTTGTTTGGGGGAAAATGAAATGAGACGTCTTATGAATGCCCCTGGCTCAGCTGAGGAAACCATAAAAAATGTGGAAATGGAATTGAGCCCTCTCCCATCAACAGAAACTCACTTGTTGCTATTATTGAAACACAAGGTTATCTGAAGCCCAGCTGCTTGAGAACTGGACCGTTTTGTGGACAGAGCACAGAGTGGCTGGCTGTGGCTGTGTGCCGTGGAGTCGGTTCCAACTCATAGTGACCCTCCCTGCACAGGGTTTCCAAAGCTGTAAATCTTTACAGGAGCAGAACACCTCATCTTTCTTCCGTGGAACAGCTGGTAGTTTCAAACTGCTGACCTTGCGGTTGGCAACCACTATGCTACCAAAGCTCCTCATAGCTCATAGTAGCTACCCAGATATCCCACCAGATGGCACCATGAAGCAACTTACCAGTTGAACACTGAGGTTGGCTAAGTGCAGGAGGAAATTTGTCCTACTGGTTAGCAGGATGACACTGGGAAACAGCCCAGACATCCTGGGCTAACTCACTACTTAAGGCGAACTGCTTGGGATCCACGGGTGAGTTACAATCCCTCCAGTGTCCTCAGCAGTGAAATCAAGATGGTAGTGACCCCAGTCATAAACTTCAAACTTGGTTGTTGTTGTGTGCTGTCGAGACCATTCCAACTCATATCCACCCAACAGGATGGCACAGAACTGCCCTACAGCGTTTCCTAAGCTATAAATCTTTATAGGAAGCAGATCAGCAGGTCTTTTCCCAGAGAATCTGCTGGTGAGTTTGAACCACCATCTTTAGCAGTTGAGCATATTAACCATTGTACCACCAGGACTCCTCCAGTTTCAAGCAACAATTCAGTGCCAGGGAGCCAGCCAGCTCTCATGCACTGTCTGGCTCTGACGATAGAGCTGCTGGGAAAAGAAGGAAGCAGCGTCATTTCTTCTCTAACAGCTGGAGCGGGAGCTCAGCGCTGCCTCACTTAACTGGTCCTCAGTGCCTGGGACCAGTTAGCCACTGCAGGCCATGGCCCAGAGCTGTGGTCCAAGGCTGCAGGGTCCACAGAGAAGGGTCTGCTGCAGTCACAGTCTTGCTTCCCACACACTCTGTGCCTCAGGCAATCCCCACCAGCTCTGAGAGGCAGCCAGGGTCCAGACCCCCATCCCTGCAGGCGACTCCAAAGTCACAATCCATAATGAGCAGAGCAGGGTCTACAAGCAGGTACCCTCTGATGCTGATGGGGGCTGTGGGGGTACAGTTCTCCTCTCATCTTCAGAGGCTCTGACACCTGCCCAGGATGTCTCCTTTCAGGGTTGAGGCTTTGGAAATGCAAGTGGATGCTAGAAAATGGCACAATTTTGTCCTGGAATGTGTGAACTCAGATTCACAATGCCTACAGGGGACCTGGTATAGCACTGTAAGATAAGCACTGGACTTCTAACCACAAAATCGGCAGTGCAAATCCAACAGCCACTCCTCAGAAACCCTATACAGGATTGGTATGAGTCAAGTCAGAACCAACTCCAAGGCACCTAACAACAACAAAGATATTTTATAT